ACTAATATATATATATATATATATATATATATATATTATTTCAAAAATAAGTGAAGTGCGTGCTGTTCATTTATTGTTGAATTTATCACCAACAAATCACAGACACCTACCGTAGAAGAATCCTTAGCCCAACACACACACACACACACGTTTACATTACTATATATACTACTAAAATGTAACTTCTCGACAACATGTACAAAATAGTCAAAATTTACCAGTATAAAAAACATTTCACAGGTATCAAGGCATTTATTAAAAAAAAAACTTCCCATTTCAATGTCATTATTTAGGTAGAAAATATTTTAAGGAGTTCAAAGCCAAAAATAATATCATAGTTAAAAACATGAAAGTAAAATACCTAACAAGATTTAATCCCAAATGCTCTATTAGATTTGTTTTTAATTACATTAAAAAATCTGAAAATAGCATAAAAAATTCCTAAAAAGTGCATAAATCTTCTAATTAAAAAAGAAAAAAGTATTCTCACCCAAACATACTCCTTATTTTGTCTGAATCCAATTCTTGTCGTTGTTTATGAAGTAGTAGATGGACAAGTTCAGAAAGATCATAGCTCTTACTTCGAATCAACTCTTTGGCTGATATTTTGATGTCACAGATCAAACGACCACACGTTATATTCTTGTCTACATATGCGCTTTTATGCCCTGCTCCCTACATAAAACAAATGTAATATTAGATTTGTTTTTCTCCTCTACCATAGAAAATAGTCCTTTTCTAATAGAACAGATTTTTTTTTAAATGAAAAAAGATTATATGAGGTAAGTGCTCTCCAAAAAAAGAAAATATTAATTAGTATATTAACTTACACCTAACTGTGGCATTCCAGATCGTTTGAGTCTTCCAATTCTGGACCAGTGTGGGATTTTGTTGGCATTTACTCGATGAAGAAGAATATCAAGATCAAATCCATATATATCATGGCCCTAAATATATCAAAATTAGTAATTAGAGCATAGAAAATGTTTGTTTTATTTTTCTGTTTCTTTATATCAATTTGCATAAAAATTACAGTTTAATGTTTTGTTTTAAATATAATCTTATATTCTTTAATAAACCAACGGCAGCATTACTGACAAAAAAAAAGTAGCACTATTTCATATAAAATATTTCAACATTTAGGCTCAGCCTGAAAATTAATTTTGAGTTCCACTTTGTAGGAAAAGCACTTCTACAAGTATTATCTCTTAAAGAGTTCTTTCACTTATCATTCTTAATACTTAACAGGTGAGAGCAATTTGGCACAACAAATGGTGGTTAAATACAGTTCTAGTTGTTTACCTCTGAAAGTAAAATAATAATAAATTTAGAGATGCCAAGACCACAAACCATAGCCAGACCCTTGAAATATTTTGATCATTATGGTACCAAGCATGTGCAACAATTCATTTTTATGTTACTGTCATTTATTTTGAAGCATAAAAGTAAGTTAAGTAAAAATCATATTGTAATTAACATATATTTATGATTTTCCTAAGTTTATTGCATATATATATATATATATTTACTTCTGCTCATATGGTTGAGAGTTTTGTTTGGGTTAAAAAATAAAAGTTGAGCTTTGTGGTATGCAACTTTGACACCTTTCAAGAGTGTCTGAACATGCTGTTAAAAGTTACATCACTGTCTGATCACGCAAGATTATTTTAATTTTAAGGCAATTAAGTTTTCCCACTTTCCCAGCCTGGAAGTCATTTAACACAATTGTATGTGAAATAAATAATGTGTAGTTGTGTTCGTGAAATTTCTTTGTTTCTTCCATTCTGCATTTGTTTTGACATTAACATTTCATCCAGCCACTTATTTCAACCTTTTGTTGTGTGTGTGTGGGATAGATTACCTATGTGCAATTATCCATCATAACCAGGAATACCACACCACTCAGGTTTCTTCCTTGGAGTTGGAGATGTATCTGGGTCACTGTTCATTATTAATGTAAATTTGTGCAAGAAAAATCTTAATGATAACCAGGCCAGCTTTGTAGGCTTTTGAACAATAACTGTACAAGAAATAGTTGGCTATGTCACAAGAAATGCTATTGGCTGTTTCAATAAAATTGGACTATGTTTAACACTCTTACTATGGGTCTTCCTATGGTCAGGGGTCAAAGGGCATGTCATCATGTTTGTAGATTTACATTCACAATTTTATTGATCTACTATTTTAAGAACATAAGCCAATAAGTTTGGTATCAAATTGCAGATTATAATTCAAATTTCAGTATTACACATTAGTTCATTTCTTAACTTAAAACTAAATTGCTAAATATCAATTCTTATGTGTCACATGGTATGTTGAATACAACTTTGGTACAAATTATATGTTTGTGGTGTCCAAATACAAAGTCTATAGTTCCTTATGAATTAGAAACTCAAACTACTGATATTAACAAGCTAGAACATAAAATAAGAACCTCCTATCTTCTATACTTGCCAAGATATTGCTACATTTAGTGAACTAATCACAGTGGTCCCACAACCTTTTTCCATTTATGGAAATACTTGCTTATGTACACCTACTTCTATCTATGATGTGTGAATAACCAATCAAAAGCTCAGAATATCCCCCTGGTGGTTTTCTCAGTCTATAAAAGGTGGAAAGTTTCCAAGATTATTATTTTTGTCTTGAATCACCGAAAGAAGGGGTAAGTGAAAATGTTGTCCAAAAAAGAATATTTTGTTTTACTCAAATACAGTTTTGTTAGTAAGCCTGATAAATTACAGTGGAATTCTGCAATATTGATAGAGTAGTTTATAATATATGGTTATTTCAAAATACATGTATAAAACCTAAAAAAATTTTGTTTTTCATCCCCCACATGAAAAATTTGACAAGACTTAGCAAATTATATATAGATGTATAATATTATGAGATTTAAGCTATTTAGACTAAACATTTGTAGTTTCGTGTTATAATTTGTAGTTATGCTAAAATGAAAAAAGCATAGTTTACATTTATTTCCTCATTTTTTTTATGTTGGTTACAAGGTCAGTCAAAATCAACCAAACCCATACAGAGACACAACAGTGAAAATATAGTTTTTCTAAAAAAAATTGACAATTTTCTGATGCATAAAAGTATTTTTATTCTTAAAATCAAAATTATTTTGCATGTTGGATAGTTAACATTAAAAAAAATACATAAGCAAATCATTACTTAAAAAATCTTAACACAAAAATCTGATATTCTGTGTACTAAAGCCTTGTAAAGTTTACTGATAACCTACAAAATTTCGTGAAGATATGCTTCCTGTATTAAAAGTTATAGTTTGAAAACTATAACAACCACAAAATAGTTGAGGTTCATCCCTGGGACTGAGCCCATAGTGAGAGAGTTAAAGAACTTAGGAAATAATTTTTCTTTTTTTTGGAAAATATTCTTCCAAAATATATTTCATTTACCTATATTACAAAAATAGACTGCAAAAAAAATTCATATTCAGTAGAATAAACTAGAAATAAAAATATTTAAAGTTTCCAAAATTTCTGACTATTAATGTATAAATAACTAAGGAAATTATACCTTTTTGTATATACATCATTTTGTCATATTTTTAGCATTATTATTGTAATCACTATCCTCTAATCATATTAGTTGGCACCTCTGAGTAATTTATTACTTTTGAAGAGTATAAGATGTATAATTTTCACATCAAGATAATTATTTAAATATTAAAGTTTCTGCTTATTCTCAGACAGTTATAACTAATTCTTTTAACATAATCTAAGCTTACAAAGTGAATACTTCAAAAACATTCAAAACAGTTAAATCTTTACACTTTATGGTAAAGTTCAGTATAAAATTTACCAACAAAACAAAAGTAGCTCTAAAGATTAATCCACCATTTCTTTTAATATGCTGTTTCTTATCCAAAATATGTGCTTTACATAAAAACATTAATAAAATAACTTAAATATACATAATATGCATAGTTACAAATATTTTTACAGTAAATACATATACATGAAATTACATTGCAAACAGTATGTGAATGATTTTTAACTACTTACCACAATAATGTCAGGGTCCAGTTTGTGAATTTTAGCCAATAAGAAACACAACAAGGCACGTTCAGAGTCCATTCGTTCCACCTTTGTATGACTGTACTTGCCTAAAGCATCCTTCAAATCAAATGGGAAAATGATGTTGCTTGGTTTGGTAACAGCTAAAAACCAGAAATTAATGAAAATGTTACTTGTATTGCAGTACAATTAACTAAGAATAATGTGCTATGTATGATTACTGTATCTTTAATAACTTACTGTATTAATATTTCATCTTTATTTGCTTCTATACAAGAAAACAGTGCACCAGAGGAATTTCATGTTGAAAAAGAGTGACTAAATAGCATGCAATTTCTGGCTGTTAAAGTACTTCAAGAATCCTCAAAACCCACCAGTAAAGTTTGTTAGTGCACTTGTATGTTTAACTAGATGCAAGTTTGAATGGTACTTGGACTCTTTTTATTTGAAGAAACAATATTGCACACTTCCCAAATAACTTATCATAATTGTTATAGCAGTTAAAAAATTATGAAAAGTCTAAAAAAATCTAGCATAAAATGTGCAAGCTAAAAATAGTAATAGTTCAAAAATAAAAAAAATCAGATTTGTGTTTTATGAAATTTTTTTTTCAGGCTATTATTGTTACAATGGTATGACTGAAATGGTAAATATTTTCCATTCATAATCACTGAACTCTTTCGGAGATTTACATAAAATAATTTTCGTATGTTATGTTGAAAAACTTACAACAGAAGTGTGTCTGAAATGGCGGTGAAGGTGCTGCCTTGTCTACAGGAAACTGGTGATGAACCAGACAAGCTGCTGCAACAATCTAAGAAGACAAAATGCTTTATTTTTAAGACGTTAATCCTTTCATTGTGGTTGGGGAGTATATTTCACAGTACACTGGGAAATATATGTCCCAGCCACAGCAAATGGGTTAAAAGATATACTTGACACCAGAAGAAAATGCTCGAGAAGTACATGTATGAGAACTAAAATTTCCAAATATTATTTTTAAACACATTCTTTATTTCTTTCACCCATTTATTTATTGTTTTTGTAATAGTTCTTGGTCCTTCAAGGAAATGAAGCTTTTGAGGAATAATTCGAAATTATACAATTTTTTGAAATTTTACCTCATTCTGGTGATTGGAATTGTTGATTACTGTCTTAAGATTCAAGGAAAGCACTACTAGAGGTGGTGGTGGTAGACTTCCTTGCACAACTGCAATGTTGTCTGGTTTGGTTAGAATAGCCTAGATGAGGGAAAAAACAAACAAACTTTGAAAACACCTATATTTTTATTGTGACAGCAGTGAATAACATCAGTTAAAATATAAAATTAACATGACAGATACTATCATGTTCAGTGCTAGAATTAAATACTTTTAAGAAAGAATACAACACAAACATGATATTGAAGGAAATAACATCTTACAAGGTTGTACACAAGGCAATACTTAATTCATATGACATCAAATCACTTTAATGTTTGAAATACTGTTAGTTTTACATTGTGTGTATGCTTCAATTGCTTAAAATAACTGCAACTTTGAAAATACTACTCCAATTAAAAATCTAAATTACAATGCATGTGGTAAACTGTGTCTTTAACAAAGAATGTAAGTTACATAAGGAAACAATACAGTTCTACTGAAATGTCTCAAATAGAGAAAATTTTTGTAGATAATAATTATAGTTCAAACAATTTGGAACTAGCTGTCTAAATATCATATCTCTGTATTACTGTGCTAATCACAAAACTTAGGCAAATTCATGTAAGTAAATTATTTTGTCCTGTACCAATTTTAATTCAAAATGAATGCTAATAAAATTATAATTTTCAATGTGAATGCTATCTTATGCAATATTTGAAACTAAATGGCTAGATCAGAGACCCCTAGAGTTCATTAACAGCTTCTTATAATTTTCAAATACTGATCAGAAGGATGGCAGCCACCCAGCAGCATCTGTCTCTACAATGGATTTGTCCATTTCTTGAAATGTATGATGGGATTAATTATCACTTTTAAACACACCCACAACTAAAAGTGTAAATCATGTTCAATGGCATCATGTCTTGAACCTTGGACCCTTTCATCTGCAGCCAAACACATAAAGCACTAAGTCAGTGTTTTTCAAATTGTGGTATGTATAACCCAGGGGCTCATGAAAAGGATAATTGAAACAACAGAGGGAAAATAAAACAAAACAAAGTAAGAAAAAAATAGTTTTCTTTTGTCATTGTTGTAATTATTTGTAACATTGTGAATTATAGTTACTAATAGTGATAACAGCAACAATTTTCAGTAAAAAACAAAAAACGATTATATATCTGAAGATATATACTGTTGCGTCAGTGAGGTCACGTGACTAGTAACACGCCACCTGTTTCTAGAAAAATCCTGTTCCTTCA